GGTCTCACTAGTAAAATAAGGTTGGCCTTGAACTCACAGAGATCCACTTACCTCTGCCTTCCAAATGCTGGGATTACAGGTGTGTGCCACCACATCTGGCCCAACACTTTATTTATATTTTTAAATTAAAAAAGTTTTGTGGCTTCAGTGAGATGGTTCAGTGGGTAAAGATGCTTACCAACAAGCCTCACAACCTGAGTTTGATTCCTGGGACCCACATAGTAGAAAGAGAGAACCAACTTCTGCATGTTGCTCTCTGACCTTTACTTAGATTCTGTGGCACACATGCACACACACAAGCATAATAAAATATTAAAGGGTGTGTTGTGTATACATATGTGTGCAGGTACATGTTTATGTATGTATACTTTTGGAGGCCAGAGGACATCCTCAGCTGTCATTGTCATTTCTCATGTGCTGTCAACTTTGATTTTTTTTTTTTTTAAGATGGGGCTCTCACTGGCCTGTAGCTTGCCAAGTACTCTAGGCTGGCTTGTCAGGGAACCCCAAATATCTGCCTGTCTCCATCTTCCCAGCATTGGAATTACAGCTATGCACAGCCACATTGAGCTTTAATAGTTATTATTATTTTTCAGCCGGGCGGTGGTGGTGCACACCTTTAATCCTAGCACTTGGGAGGCAGAGGCAGGCGGATCTCTGTGCCAGCTTAGTCTACAGAGCGAGCTCCAGGCCAGGCTCCAAAGCAATACAGAGAAACCCTGTCTCGAAAGAAACAAAACAAAACAAAACAAAAAGTTACTATAATTTTTATATAGCCCCAACTGCTCTGGAACTCACTGTATAGAGCAAGCTTTCTACAAGCTCACAGAGGTCCACCTGCTTCTGCCTCTGTTGGGATTAAAGGTGTGCGCCACCATGCTTTCTCAGCAGGTACCTTACCTACTGAGCCATCCCCCAGCCCCTGACAGTAGCATGTCTGTGAACATCTCACCTAGGGACAGACACACAGTACTGCCATCTAGTCATTATGGTGATAGAGCTCTGGAGTCTTTAGTTCTTGAGGCAACCATGCAAGTAACCTGTATGATTCTCCAGGTTCTTCCAGGTCCCTTTCAGTGACAGCCTCCCTCCATCTTGTGAGCAGGGGGACATGCGTCCATACCTAGGCCTACTTGCCCTTTGCTCCTGTTAACTTCCTGCCCTGGCTTTCTGGCTGCTGACACTTTGAAGTTTGCATACGTGTGTTGAGAGATTCCCTGGCTGTAGGAATCGTGGTCTATGTCTTTGAGTCTACAGCATCTAGATTTGAACTCTGTGAGCCCTGTCCCCTCTTGGTGTGACAGCTGACCTTTGCATGTGCTTGTGTCCCCAGGATTGGAATGTCACATGGCACACCAGCAGCCCCGACTTTACCAAGTGCTTTCAGAACACCGTCCTCACATGGGTGCCTTGTCTCTACCTCTGGTCCTGTTTCCCCCTCTATTTCCTCTATCTCTCCCGACATGACCGCGGCTACATCCAGATGACACACCTCAACAAAGCCAAAACAGTAAGTCACCTGGTGTCCCAGTGGGGCGGGCACATGGGTAGGTGTGTAGCCCAGCCTTATGTGAAGAAGGCAGAAGCATGTGGTAGATCAAGGTTAAGGCTAATGTGGTAGATCAAGTTTGGAGCTAAACATAGGTTCAAAACAGAACTTTTGAGTGACTAACCTCCATGGTCTCAGTTTCCCTGTGTACTGCACTAGGGCTGACGGAAGCTTACTCAGGGGATTCTCAGGAGAGTATCATAGGAAGGTCTTCATTAAAGCAATTGTTTTGTATTTGTTTATTTTTACTTGGAAAGTGATTTCAGGTCTGAGGGGGTGGCTCACTGGATCCCCAGAACCCATGTGAAAGTTGAGGTGGAGACAGCTGAAAAGGGATCTCCAGCTTCAAACAAGAGACCCTGCCCTGAGGAGTAAATTGAAAGGCAATCAAAAGACACCTGGTGGCAACCTCTGACCTCACTGGGTACCAGTACCTGCACACATGCGTGTTCCCACACACGTGCACACACATGACACTCACATACAAAACACAGTTCTCATTTTGAAATAATTTCAGACTCCAGGAAATTGCCAGGACAGTACAAAACCTGTACCAGGTTTTCTGTCTGAGCTTCACACTGGCCAGGATTTCCCAGTGGACTCAATTGCTTCCTCCTTAGTCTTTGCTTTCTCCATATGCACATATTCCTATGATTTTGTTTTTCTTTGAAGAGGTGACATCCAGCATGCCCTTGAGCTACTTAATTCTTTCCCTCCCTCTCTCTCTCCCTCCCTCCCTTCCTTTTTTTTTTTTTTTTTTAAAGGCAACCCAGGCTGGCCTGCAATTTGAGAGCCCCTGCCTTTGCCCCTGCTCTTCCCATGCTATCCATCATCCTTCAGTATTTCCTCAGATAGGACTGCTCTTTTATTAAAGTGTCATCAGTGACAGGCAGGGATGGAACCATCTCAAGCCCCTGTGGGGCTCTCTAGCAGCTGTGGCTAGATGTCAGATTCCATGCAAGGTCCTTGGGGCATGAGAATAAAGTAAGACAACTGGGAATGGCAGAGCACATCTGTCTTCCCAGCATTCAGGAGGCTGTGAGAGGAAGGTCAGGAGTTCAAGGCCAGCCTAGGCTACATAGTGAGACCCTGACAGAGTAAGAAGCTGGATGCTTTTACTGAGGACCTTGTAGGTTGATTAGTGACCTTGTGGTGAACTTTTTTTGTGGATGGTAAGAGAGATCCCAAGATAGTTGTTGTAACTTGCCATAATGTTCCCTTTTTTCCTAGGCTTTAGGATTCTTGCTGTGGATCATCTGCTGGGCAGACCTCTTTTATTCTTTCTGGCAAAGAAGTCAGGGAGTATTCCTAGCCCCGGTGTTACTGGTCAGCCCGACACTGCTGGGCATCACCATGGTAAGTTGTTGGCTGGTGGGGCTGGCAATGAGAAATGAGAGGACTTGGACTGTGGTGTGGTTAGTGGTAGAGTGTTTGCCTAGCACAAGCAAGGACATGGGTTCCATCAACCAAAGAGATGCTTCTCAATGAGGTAGTTGCGGTTGGCACAGGTCTTCGTCCTGGTACTTGTTGAACTGGGGAGTTCAAGGTCAGCCTGGGCTATGTGTGATCCTGTCTCACAAAGCCAAGAAATAGAGGTTAGAGAGATGACTCAGTGCTAAGTGCTTCCTGCTCTTACAGAGGACCGAAATTTGGCTCCAACATGTACATTGAGTGGCTCATAACTTCTTGTAATTCCAACTCCAACCCTCTTCTGACCTTTGCAGGTACCACATACATTTGGTACATGCATAGACAGGTGCATATTTATGTATACATACCTATAAATAAACAATCTGAGAAAAACAAAAACAAAACCTAAAACCAATAGACAGGACTGATGAGATGACTGAGAAGATAAAGGTGTTAGTTGTGTACAGCCTGAAGACATGAGTTCAATCCCTTGATCCCATGCAAAGCTGGAAGAAGGAACCAACTCTACAAAGTTGTTCTCTGACTTCCACATGCTCACCAAGGCATTTGTGACAACACATTATGTGCTTGTGTGAGTGCGCACACAGACACACACACATACACACACATTTAATAATAAATTTTTGAAATCTCCAAAGCAAAATATGCAGAGTCACTAATGTTTAGGGGAGCCATCAACAGGAGCCACAGTCCTTACCATGCCCTGAAGCTCACTGCATCTTTAAGTGAAGTTTACAGATTGTCATTTGTAGTAATTTCTCGAGAGTGGTGAATTTAGGAGTTCTGAGGCTTTAGGAAGGCAGAATAATAAACAAAGCGGGAGGCTGTGCTGGCTGCTAGGATCCCACAACTCAACAGCCACAGTCTTTAAGTTCACAGAAATTTGGTGAGCGGCAACTGAGTCGGGCAGGACTCCTGGTGGTGTACTTGAGCTTCAGTTCATTTTGAGAGTGACCCTGGGGGACAGGCACCATGTGTTTCCTTTATAGGTGATGAGATGAAGGCACAGAGAGGCCCAGGGCTGTACTTGAGGTCCATTCTGCAGTTCATGGGTAGCTGAGCCAGGCTTGAGTCCTGTGCTCATGTGTCATGTGTATAGCTGCTACATTGTGGTCACAGAGTGATACGCCCAAATTAACTTGTGTGCTTTGGGTTCCATTGAGAAGCCCAGAAGGTTCTTAGAGAGCAGAGGCCTTGGCAACTGAAGAGGGGGGAGGAGGTGGAGCAGCAGCAGCAGCAAGCTCAGAGTAGACTTGTGAGCAGAGAAGTCTCTGTACAGCATGGCTGGGCCTGAAAGGAGGTGTGGGGAAGTCCAAACTGTAAAGCAAGGACAGTGTAAGCTCAGGAGAGAGGGGTGTGGAGAGCTGGCCCAGTATTGGGGAAAGGAAGACAGTGCTGCGGTGGCGATATTTGCCAGGTGCCAGCCAGCCACAGTACCAACTCCTTCATGACTTACTTTCATTCCCATATTTTACATACGTGAGTGGAAATCTAGAGAGTTGAAGGGACTGCTGGGCTGAGGTCACAAAGCCAGGCAATGGTAGAGCCACATTCCCACTGCTGTCCTGATGTCTCTGGTGGCTCTTAACTTACTCTCTGGTTCTCCTGCTGGCCTGGGAGTCCTTGCAGGCACTTAATAGGCAGTCAGCAAACATGTTGTTGCTTTGACTATGTGTGGCCTGTCTGACATCCAGTGCTTTCTCTACAGAAGACTAAAGCTGTGTCCTGGTGTGCACAGCTGTGAGTGGAGAGCTATGAACTCGGATCTGTGGCTGGTAGTGAAGGAGACTTCATTGAGGGGAGGAATAATGGAGCTGAGGCCCAGAGGGTGAATAGGATGAAGGGGCTGAGGGCAGAGAACCCCCTGTTGAGAGCAGCATGTCTAACAGTACCAGGGTAGGGGAGAAATGGAGGGTTGGCCTGTGTGTCTGGAACAGAGATGGAGAGGAGAGATCAGGGAGTGTCCCGCGCGATATTCTCGCCGGCAAGAATCACACAGGACATTCGGATCCTTCTGCAGGAAAGCTTTAATGCATCATGAGGGGAGAGAGAGCATAAGCTTACCAGAGCGGAGACCCCGAGCCAAGAATCCCATCCCCTAATAAAGGCTGGCAGCGGCCGCCTGGGATGTGTCACCCTATGAATGGCTTCAGCTCCTCAGGCCATATGAGCCACGGGATAGGCAGAGA